CTTACTCCTGGCTTTTAATTCTTGACTTATACTTTAAAAGCTGTTTTATACCTCCAAGCCAAATGTGAAGATGGCTCATGAAAATGACAGACGGTGTAATTACTGCTTTATTGGCACTGATGCCAAGATCGCTGCCTGCTAGACTTGAATACCTCCACTGGGTGGCTAACAAGATGTGCACTCCACAAACTAGCACAGCCCTCTCCCCACCCTACAGGGAGGAAAGAAGGAAAGGGAATACCACTTTTTCCTATAGGGACGTGCAGATAGTTACATGAAATATATTGCATAGGCAGAACATCCATGATTACATTAAGTTTTTTTTCAAAGATAGCCTCCAGTAGCGTGTTTTCAGTGACAAACCAACAATCTGAGCATTTGAGATTCACATTGAGTCAAATACTCTTTGACTAAATCGCAGCAAACTGCTCACTACTTTGAGCAATGCAAATCTACCCAGGAATTCTCCTGTGCAACAGCAATTCAAAAATATTTTTCTGATCAGCTGCAGAAGTAATTTTTGTGCCTTTTAGTGGAAAAAGTAACCAGAACTGATTCCTCAAAAGTCTGATGATGTAAAATCCAGAAAGAACCAGAAATCAACAAATATAGCCACACACTATAAAACGGGTTACTCCAAACAAAATTGTTTAGCTGGTAGCATGACATAAACGTAGCTTCACTTTTCAAAGTATAACTCTCCTAGTATTTTACTTATACACAAAACTCTGTTTGTATATTGTACAGAAATACTAAACTGTTGTCCCACTCAGCCTGGGCTTCTCTCACCTTCCATAGGAACTGATGTTGCTTTGCATTTTATTCAACTGAACTAAGCAGACTGTGTCTCAAAAGAACTCTCTTCAATTTGCATAAAAATAAAGATATTTACCTGGAAATATCTAATAAATATAATCCACATTTTCTCCTCTCTTGCTGCACAGACCAGCTATGGAAGTGATTTGCGTGGCCTTGGCACAGAGTTGTATTCCTGTTTTCAGATGTACTGTATTTGGAAAATTAAATTAGGAAAATATTTTTCATTTGGTTAATGCTGTTTCCTGTTTCTGAATTTGGATGTCACACACAAAGCTAGCCCCAAAATACAGTGAATAACTGGGGTTTGAGACCGTTACCGAAGAAAAATAAAGTTGTGTAGCGACTGATCCATGTAAAACGCTTAAGTGCAAACATGCACAACTGTGGAAATATCTGGCATTCTTACTGCACAAAGGAATAGATGACACTGACAGTAATGCTGAAGAGCCATCAGAAGGATATGATGTATATACTTTTTCCACAACTATTGCAACCAGCTGCTAGAGCCTGGAGCCAGAGGAAGAACAGCCCAGATTCTGACTCCCGTGTTCCGAGGGAGGAATCCCTCCTCTACGGACAGATCCATCCACTTAATTTTAATCCTGCTTAAATTGCACCTCAGTCAGCAAAGCAAACCTGGTGCCTGCTTCACTTTCAGCAACGAGTACTGCCATACTGAAATGTTACTCAGGATCCGTGCAGACTGCCACATCCAGCTCAAGCTTGTCAACATCATTGAAATCTGCCACAATACATTGCTTTAAAACAGATTAATGTTCCAAAGGGCCTTCTTCATTCACAACAAAATACTACTTGGCTCTTGCTTTATTAATACAAATACTATTACACCCATACGATCAAATACAAGAGGTCTACTGATGCATCAAGATAATTAAGTCCTTTCCCCCCCTTTCTTCAACAAGACGTGTTTAGGTATTTAATTAGGAAATGCATCCCCAAAAGGTTAGTACATTCACATGTTATATTTCACTTTTTCCGCACTAAGCATTTTCAAACTGCTGCTGTTGCTAATACAGACTATGATGGGGCAAGAAAAATATCTGCACATATGGCTCTTTTACAGTTTTCTTTTTAAATTGTCACTTTGATTTAATTAGGTTTGAGGGGTTAAGCATAAAAAAATGCACTCTTTTATTGTAAAGGAACAAATGAAACACAACCTCATTAATACGTAGTCCCTTTAGCTTTTCTATCCATCTTTTACACCACTGTTATTAACCCAAAAAGCTGTCTGAACCATGCTTGTCACTACAGATAGATAGCCTGACTCTCCCTTTCGTCCCACCTACACACCAAAAAGGTGAGAGCCACAGTGTAAGTGGGTAACACTTTGAGAGGTGGGAAGTGGGGTGGGGTAGGAAAGCACAACAGCTGAAACCCAGTCTCTGCTGATTGAAGAGCCAAAGGAAAAGTTGCTTTTACGGAGATGGCACTGAAAATGCAGTCTGAGACATTTAAATTCTCATTCTGATGTAGCTTATATCATAGAGCCATAGTGAATGCAGTGAAATGCCAGATCAGAGTTGATTCTGGCTTGATAATCACTCTGGGCTCATTCTTGCCACTTTGAGAATTAAGGGCTGTCTCTATCACTGTGGCCATTTCCTGTTCTCTCCTGATAACAGCGGAAAAATACTTACACAGCTTCAGATAAAAAGATAAGAAATACTAATAAAACAAAAAGTGTATTTAGGTCTGCTGAGAAGCTCACTCAGAGACGCAGTGATATGAATCTGCCAGGGCGTGTGGGGGGTTGGTCCACCAACTACTCCGTTAATAAATTTATTTTCCACGAGGCAATGAAAAGGAAAGCATGAAAGCAGAAGTCTCAGCAACACTCATAGCTTTCTTAACCTGCTTCAAAAGATAAAGATAGTTGGGGAATGGAGATTAAATATATATGGTTTTGAAATATACACATAAAATAGAGGGAAAACTTTGCCCAGTGCTATATGATGAGGAAACTTCCTGAAGAGGGCATAGTTAAACTGTTGATTCATTGCCTCGCTGAAGCACCACATACACATACATACATACATATAGATCCCCACTGCACACACCAGTCAGAAATCTCCTCAGCTCTGGGAAAAATGCCAAAACCAGGTCTGCACCCAAATTCTGTGCCTGGTCCCAGCAAATGGGAAATAAAAATAAACACAGAAAAACAAGCCCAAGACAAATAGCTATATCCCTACAACATTCCCTGGATTTTCCACTGTGTTGTGGAAGTTTATCCCACGCTGCACACTGGGAAGTGTTGCCGAAGAGCTCTCTGTCCCCTTCTGGGTAGGTGACAACACCTGTGTCCTGTGACAGGTCCCACACACAAGACACCCTCTGCAGTGCAGGCAAAAGGGGCCTGGCTCCTTATCCCTCATGGCATTTCTGTCACACAGCATTGTGTTTATAAGTGTGGAAAGGAGAAACCACCCGAGAGCGTGAGGTATGCCCTGTGGCACTGAGATGAGCGCTCTGAAACAGCCGAACGCAGGGGGTCCTCTCTTCTCCACTCAGGCCATCTGTCATGCAACCTCCCATATCCTGCTCAGCAGAGCAGGCAGGCTCCTTTCCACTCCAGGTCCAACTATCTGAAAGGATGTTCTTCAACACCCCCCATCTACACTGACTGATATGTACTGACATCTAGGTCTACATGCATATGGTACTATTAAAACCTTTAAATACAAAACATCAAACCTGTCCTATCTTGAATACGAAACTAACCAGGGAAAGAAGACAGTGTGTAAGACACAGATGAAACGTGGCACAATGCATAGGACTTTTTTGTACTTTCGTTCTCTGTTACCCCCTTTTCATGATCAGATTTCTGATCTTCCTATGAGACAAATGCCTGGTATGAGCAAGGGGATGTGAGTCTGAGGATGGAGTAAGCATCTGCAGGAAATGGATTAACACCGTTGCATGTACAGACATGATTTTCAGCGCATCCAGCCCACCAGAAGCAAGTCTACAGCTCCCAAAAGCCTGCCAGGGGCACTGAGAGACAGAGCAACCAGCACTACTCTCCTGTCACAAAGGCCACACAGGAGAGTGCACTTTGTAATGGCTAGGTGAGAGCACAGAGCCAGATCTGTGCAGTTTTCACAAGTGCCTCTCCACAGAAATAATGTGGGGAAAAACCAAGCATTCTTACATTTGCATTACAGTAACAAGTCCAAATCAAAACTCTGGTGTGTATTATTACTTCTTGGTTACATACATGGACAAAAAAAACAAAACCAAAAAACCAAACAAAACAGCCTCTAAAATTGCTTTTCTCTTGTTAGCCATATAACTGAGATTTCCACGTGCTTCAGCAAACCCGCACATCCTTGATCTGTGCAGCTCTGCCCACATGCAGCAACAACCTTTCTCTCTCTCGTCCTCCACAAAAGCAACACATTTCCACAATAAGTCTAACTCCTGGGAAGAAAGAAGAAAAGCACCGAGAAAGTTTGTCCAGCATCAGCTCACAGGAGAAAAAGCCTCCTGCTGTGGCTGTCTGCCGGGTGGGTGCCACACTGAGACAAGGTTCTTTGTGATGCTCTCAAACATCGCTAAACACGCACTGAGAATCAGGACATTGTCACTTGGAAAGAGGAATTTAAACACGGGCCACAGGGAAAGCAGATCTAGATGTACTCCAGAATCCCCGACACGGGAAGGGAAACAAAATCCCAAAACATAAACATAGAAAGACGGTAACTCCCTTCGGGTATATCATGTTTTAGGCAGGAAGAAGGAGGGAGTGGGGGGCGAGGGGGGCGTTCAAGAATGACCATCGGATGCAGAGCCCCCGGGTACGGCTGCGCCCCTGCGGAGGGACACCCGCCTCGCACCTGCCTTTCCCACGCACCTTGCCAGCCCTCCGGGGCGCACCGGCGCCGCTCTCCCGCCCCGGAGCGCTGTTGGCGGGGCTCCTTCAGCCCAAACTTCCCCCTCAGCTCCCCGTGCCCCACTTGAGGACAGAGTGCAGGGAAAAACGCCTGTCGCGGCCAGGCTTCAGCACCCGCGGACCCGACTCGACCAGTGCGGTCGGACCCCGGCGAGGGTCGTGCATGCGGGGGAATGCACTGTTTGCACATACAAACACGGGGGAAGGGGAGGGGGGGAGAAATCACGGGATGAATTCGCATATCTAGCCCACACGCGGAAGATGCCCCGACCCTTATCCATCCATCCATCCATCGCCTTACCTTGCGCCGCGGAGCCGGGGCGGCTGGCCCCCAGGACGGCCAGGGCGGGGAGCACCACCGTCTGCAGCAGGTATCCCAGTCCCAGCCCGCAGCGGGCCGCTGTTCCCTCCAGCCCCTTCCCCATGGCCGGGGCAGCGGGGCAGTCGCGCTGAGAGCCGCGGAGCTTTCCTGTGCCGCCTGTGCCGGCCCCGTCCCACCGCCGGGCGCGGAGCGGCGCGGAGCTCTGCGGGTGCTCAGGGGGCGCGGGGGGCGGCGGGGCGAGGGGCTGCGCTCGTACCGGGGCAATAGGCTCTGCATGGCCCCGCGGAGGGGCGCGCGAGCCGGCGGAGCACTGCTTTCTTCCCGCGGGCGGCTCGGCGCTGCTGCCTCCACCCCGGGGTGGGCGGGGGCCGGGGCCGGGGCCGGGGCTGGGGAGAGGGGGCTGCGCCGGCCGCCTGCGATAAAATGCGAGCTAGAGCGAGGAGCGGACCCAGAGGGAAGGGGGCGGGGGAGGCTGGGAGCCACCCGCCGCAGAACCGGCCCCCTTTCGCCTCCCCCGCCCGCGCCCCCTGCGCGCACCCCGCGGGCACACGGGCGCGCAGATGCTGGTGCACACACGTGGGCGCCCGCACACGCCCCAACACACGCTCGCACCCCCCGCCCCAGCCCACCCCGACTGTACAGCCGGGAGCAGACGGCCGGCCGGACCCCTCTATACTGGCTCCCTCTCCGCCACACTGTTCCCGTGGGCCTGACACCCTCCCTCTTCCCCCCCCCCCGCACCTACAGGGCTCGGGAGGACCGGGACATCTTTAGGGAGCCATAAAATGCAGGGTGGGGGAGCTCTATACTGGTCGGGCGTCACCCGTCTTCTCCCACAAGCAGCAGGGTAGAGGGCAGGGGGAGAGAGGGAGAGCACCAGGTGAGCTGTCGGAGAACCCACCATCCCTGGGGAACGTCTCGCCGTTTGCCCTCCAGGGCCTCTCTCTTAAGGATGGGGTCGGTCCCTGCCAGACCTTACCCTTCCACCCCTAAAAAGCTGTCTCCTAGCCTCTGTCTTCACCGCGTACTCACCAAATCTCACTCAGTGGGATAGCAGTGCCTACACCTCAGGTTTGCTGTTCAACCAGGGCTCGATTTGGTTTTACTGTTGCTTTCTAGGGCTTGGGTTTTGGTTGGGTTTTTCTATTTTAATGGTTTAGGGTTTTGTAGGGGCTTTTACGTTTGTTTTGGGGGTTTTCGATGGGTTTTTCTTTTTTTAAGTTGTCCTTCCCTTTGCAGAGCCAAGGCAGGCTGTCTGCAGCCATTACCAGATCCAGCACCTCGCACACCAGGTGTGTCAACGTTGCTCCACAGCCCTCCACACACCATGGTATTCCATGTCACCTTCTCCAGCCCAGAAGTTCCCCCAGAGCAGGGCTGCGTGCGAGATAAGGAGCGCTCTTTTCCTCGGAGGCACGGCTGGGATCTTCCCAGTCGCTCTGGCTTTGCGACCCCTCCCCCGCCCCTTCCACACAGGAAAACAGTCTTGCTGATGCCGCAGGAGGGTTTCCTGGGAGCTACAGGAGCTGCCTGCCTCCAGGGAGGTTCTGTCCCACCTGCCCCCCGACTTTAATGCCCTTCCCAGGGGATTACCCAGACTGTTCCCATCTCAGGGTCTGGGGGACAGCATTTTTTTCTCCTACACAGCAGCTTACACACAGCTGCAGTGTGATAGGAAAGCAAAGTTAATTTAAGTTTTTGTATGTGTGTGCAGGCACAGAGCAAAAAAAAAAGGTCAGTTATTGTTCTGGGTAGCATGCCTGGGCATACCTGGAAGGTGCCCCAAGTAGGCTGTGTTTCAAGCCCAACAGGCTGATCTGCCCAGTAACTGTTAGCTATACTCTCCAGCTGTACTCTAGAGGTGGAGCACTCCACCTCTCCATCTCCTGGCTGTACTACATCCTTTAAAGGGGTGAGTCCCATCAGCTTTGAACAATACAGCACAGTTTACGAAATATTAAGGCTCCACCAAAATCCATGAGTTAAGTCCTGAGGGTCCGTAAGTGGCGAAAAGGAAACTCACAACTTGTAACCATGTTCAAAGGGGAATGTGAGTCCTGAACAAGAGGTTTTTTGATTGCAGGCACTCCCTACAGCAATCCCTGACTCCATGCTCCCTAGCCTTAAGGCTCAGGTTAGTAGTCATCAGAACAGTTCCCCATGTATCATATCTATTTGCCAGTTTTGCCATAACTCTGTAAGCTGGGAGCATCTCTCTTTTTTGGGGTACTTCTTTCCCCTATGCTAGGGGAAACTTTTCAGAGGCAAGAAGAGAGGCCCCTGAAAGATGTCACACGTGGAAGATGTATTCATTGCAACACCAGCTGACGGGCACATCTATTGCCACAAGGGATGAGAGAGGGAGGGCTTGCTTCTCCATTAATCGGAGTTAATTTATTTTTGATGTTTTGGAGCTTCCCAGGAGTAATACCTATAGTTACAGGCTTAGTTTCTAGTTAGTAGCTCAGTGACCTCATTAAATAAGTCCATCCCAATTTCAAGATGATGTCCCTGCAGCCCTGCCCAGGGATCCCTGGTGGCTGCCAACCTGTCAGCCTCTCTGCTGTGGAGTAGGTGCAAGGGGGAGCATTGCTGCTTCACAGCTGTGGCAGAAGTGATGGCACAGGGACCACAAGCTCTCAGATGGGAAGAAAGGAAGTCTTTTCTCCAATACCCAAGGTGTGGTGGACAACGGAGGAACAAAGGTACTCCAGCCTGAGATGTTCATTAATCACTTTTCTACTGGAAATGGATATATCTTGACCTGGAGAAGATGGTTCAAGCCAACAGCAACAAATAACTAGACAGGGGTCTTCTCTGGAAAACATTCTTTCAACTCTTTCTATGCTCCATTATGTGTAAGAAAGGGCATCCAGGGATGCTCCACGTGTCTGCATCACTGAGCTTTCTCAGTGATCCCATATACTCTGACAAACAACACTTGTGACTGGGCCAGCCCTAATGCCACTGCAATGGATTTTGCCTATTCAGAAGCAAGTCTCTCCAAGGGCTTTTTTTTTTTTCTCCTTATGAGATAAACAGAATTATTATCCCAGCTTAATAAATTTGACATTTGACACCAGAGTTAAAGGACTGAGATAAATCAGGGATTTGGGATTAGAAAGTGCAAATTGCCTGGATTTATTCCAAAAGTAGTTGATTGGTTGGTTTTGGTTGTTTGTTGTTTTTTCCCTGATAGAACCTGATAGTTGGGAAGGTATTTCCCAACTGTTAGAAAAGCCTGTGACTTAAAAGTACATATAAGGTAAGTGTATCTTTTTGTCAGTTTTAAGGTCCTTAAAAATCACTGCATACCTTTTATAAACTCATCTGAAGCAAATATTAATCTCAAATTTTTGTACTTGGACAGAAATATCAGGTGTGAAAGAGTTTGCATTGGAAAGTGGCTTTAGTAGCCTAACAGCCTTCACTAAGTTTCCAGGTAAGTTCAAGAAATCACAAATCCAAATTACACACCCACAGTAAATGCCTATAAAATCTAGGGTGACATTTAAAAAGTTCCTATGAAACTTGTGTAGTGGTGAATTTGATTTCAGTGAATTTTATTGCCCAAGCATCTGGAGTTGCAAAACCATCAATTAGAAGGTATATTGGATTTGAAAAATCCTATCAGCTTTCATAATTAGTATTGTGAATGGTGGTATAGATACCAGGTTTTTCTCTACATGTTTTCTTAAGATCCTCTACATTTATAATGATTTATACAAACCTTAATGTAATTACAGAACTCAAGGGAAATTTATATTTACTTGTGTTATGGTGGCACAGCTCCGGACCACATTGCAGCAGGTACTAAAACAAAGAATCAAAGAATCAATTAGGTCGGAAAAGACTCCTGATATCATCGAGTCGAACCCTTGACTGATCACCACCTTTTCCACTAGACCATGGTACTGAGTGCCACATCCAGTCATTTCTTAAACACCTCCAAGGATAGTGACTCCACCACCTCGCTGGGTAGTCCATTCCAATGTTTAAGAACCCTTTCCATGATGAAATTCCTCCTAATGTCCAACCTGAACCTCCCTTGGTCCAGCTAGAGGCTATGTCCTCTCATCCTGTTGCTAGTTGCCTGGGAGAAGAGGCTGATCCCCACTAATGAGGTAGTATATTTCAGTAAAGGACTGATATTAAAAAACAATTCCAGAGGGTAAAATATATTTTCTAATGCTTGGACCCAGGTAAGATCTGCATCAAACTTTTTGAATCATCCCATTATTCATCTAGTATAGATATAATCTGAAAGGAAAGAAAACAGTAAAAAGCTACATGGACATCTGCCATGTCTGAGAGAATTAGGTGTCGGTGTTCTATGCTTTGTGGAGAGATGAACTAGAAAATGTGGAGGTCTGGGTGTTCTAATGTCATGATACCAAAGAGCCACAATCTTCATTGTTATTCCAGAACATATTTCCTTCCAAAACAGTGGTTTAAATGGCAATTGATTATAGAGAGTTTTCAGGAGTAACTTTGGCTCAAAGGAATATAACAGTTTCTTAATGCATTCCTCTACAGTATACTGTATTAAACCAGATCCAGTCAGATAAAAATGGTAGAACCTGGTTCCAGACAGTTCAAACTGGCTCAAACTGTTTCCAACTGGTTTAAGCTGATTCAAAAGGATTCTGACTAGTTCAAAGCATTTTAAACCAGTTCAGACCAGACTAAGCCACTTAAAATAGGATCAGAGTGGTTCCAACCCATTCAAACCAGTTAAATAGGATCAAAGTGGTTCCAATTAGTTGAACTGCCCTGATACTCACTGCAAAGAGTTGCAAAATTTGATTGATGACTTTGCAGCAGAGGTACCAAGGTCCCCTGTGCTAAGTGGGACTTCAGCAAGGCTGGTTTGAACAAGGAAAAGAATCTTTCCTGTGCACTGATAATTGAGAGTAAGATTCGTCAACCCATCCTCTCACTGAGTGCTGTGTTCCTTGGCACGTACTGTCACCTCTGTCCAACCAATCCGAAGACTCATTAGGTACACAAACATCAACAAGGGATGCATATTCAGGTTACACATCAGGTGATTATGATAGTCAAGATGCTCTCGGCTACTGAGGTGCACCTAAATCAGCACGGTGTATTTGAGCGAGGGCTGTATTTTGCACACTCCTTCACTAGCTGTTTGCAGTGGCACGTGGCATGCACATCTGCTTTTGGCTGTGCCATTACCTCAGGCTCTACCATGCTGCCTTTATTTTATGGCAGAGCCCAGCACTGTGCAATCCAAAAAGCAGGTGTGTGACAAACCTCTCACTTCACTGACATACCTACCACAATCCATCAAGTACTGCATTTTTCTCTTGCAGTTTAGATAGGCAATTACTTCCTCTGTGGTTGCTGTGTGTTATACTGGGTATCAGCGAATGAAACTACCCTTTTGATATCTTACATTTCAAGAGCAACACAACCTCATTTCAAGTAAAAACTTCTGAGCACTTTTTTCACACTAGGAATGACTATTTGTGGTGGAACTGTGGTCCGAGGAAAATTTCTTTCATACCCACTGAAATCTAATAAAACAACTGATTGTGTTTCAGCTTCCAAAATCACTACTTTGTCTGCTTATTTATGGAACCAGATCTTCCAAATTTCCTCTCTTACTTATGAATTACAGTTACGTGCTAAATTTTCTGTCTTGACATTATATTAGCAAGTCCATGGGTCAGCATATATGTTAATAACACCCATTTTAACAGGGTTTCACCTCATAGCAACCATCACTCCACAACTGTGCTTGAGTTACCTGGAAGACCATATGATGTCCTGCTCCTCATACCATTTGAGGTGCACAGCTCTCATTTGTTTAATAAATTAACAATTTAACAATTAACAACTCTGTTGTCCTCACCATTCTTTAGAACACCTTGGATTTTCATAATATCTGAAGAGGACCTTCTTGAACTAAAGGAGTTATACTAAAGGTAGGGCCATATTCTGTCTCTGTATGCATTCTAGGTATTGTGCATAACATCCTGTTGTAATTTCTGCAAGAGGATGCTACAGTTGGAGCTCAAAACTTGGTCACCTAGGGAAGAAAGGTTAAAAATTCAAAATTGTTTAAGTCTCACTTTCAGTAGTCAGGGGCATCATATTTTTGAATGACAACAGGACTTAGGCTCCTTGCCCATTTTTGAAATCTGTGTCCTCCAGCTACAGCCAAATAATGCAGCCAAAGAGCTTTTTCTTTCATGTGAATTGTCTGTAAACAGATCACAAATTCCTTATTTATTTATTCTCTCTTCCCATTTGTTTGGCGAATATTTTCTCTGAACAGTTCTTGAGCTGTAGCTCATTCATGCACAATTCATCACGAGCATTTGAAGTTCAGTATTCAAACTATTTTCCTTACTCCAATTGAATGATACCATATGAAAACATTTCCCATCTACAAATATTCTGTAACAAAAAAACAACAAACAACAACAACAAAAATACCCAAACCAAAACAAAAAACCCCACCAAAACCAAAATAAACAAACAAACAAAACAAAAAAACCCCTGTGATCATTTTAATCTCTATCTACCTGGAAACTCACTGCAAAAATACAAAAGGTGAGACCTACTGTCAGCTCATATTTGTTGGGACCTGAGGCGAGCGTTGCCCTCCCTGTTTCTGGAGGCAGCCCTGGTGGCGACGGGCGGCTGAGCGATTGCGGTGCCTCCCAGCAGAGGGAGATGTGATACATCGGCTCCGGCTCCGGCTGCGCAGCTCTCAGTCTCTGCAATAGATCGATGAGTCATGAATGTTTTAGGAACATGTCAGAGTCCCATGGCTTCTCATTATCTAAGCATTTTATCTCAGTACAAACCTCTTTTAGGCCTGTCCCTGATAGCTGCATCATCCTATACCAGATTTCCTCGGTCCCCACCTTCAGCTGAGGTGAAGGACTTGAATAACTTGATATATTTCAGTCTGTTGCACAACAGAATCGTATTCCTCTCTCCCTCTCCCCTCACTATTTATTTTTGTAGCATTGTAACTACATACCTACCTTGAAGTTGAATAATAATGTGACTTACAGGTGTCAGTCTCTGCCCCAGGATCATCAGATTCCACTGAATTTGATTATATGTTTTGTTTGCCAAGCACTAATTTTTTAATTGTCCAGTTTAGGGTATGATGCCTCCAAATTTCTTTACCAGTGTCACAAAAATTCTTTTTCCAATGTCCGAATACTACCTCACTGCCCACCTCTGCCTTTGTGTTTTCTCCCTGCCTTAGGTACCATGAGATAACAACATGGTTGCTTTTGGGATCTTTGTTTCAAATTTTCTCTGTAGGTGTGTATACTGGGTTGCTCTTACTCTGGGCATTATTTTATGGATTCTCTTCCCTGATACACTTTGCAGAAAGTGACATTAGAAAGAATTATAATTACAGCATTTATTAAACCACTTTTTAAAAGAGGAGACTGGTAGCATGCAGAAAGAAACAATGAAGAAGAATAAGAAAACTCTCTGGCAAAATATGTTTAAGAAGATGTAGGTTCTATGTAGAAATACATTTCCTGACAAAATTAACTGTTAATGTAGTATTTTGGTGCTCTACAATAACATCAAACTTACACGCAGACCTGTAACATTCATCTGTCTTCTAGATAAAAAAAAATTGCATAATTTTAATTGTTACATATTTTCTTTATAGTTCAATATATTTGTAGTTTCATACATGAACTATTTTGTGAAAATATATCATATTAAGCAAACTGTGAGAGTTTGAGTACATGGCAATGGCCCCATCCTTCCCATTTGTATCTACTTTGTGAGGAAAACCAACTACAACAAAAACAATGAGCCTCAATTTGTATGTTTGGGGTTTTTCCCCTTTTCATTTTGAATCTTGACAAACTGCTCCATTACACAGTGCATTTGAAGTGCAACTCTCCCCACTAGCTGCTCTACTGCATTTACTCCTGACAGTGTGTAACTGAATAATCTTTTTTTTTTTAACCAACAGAAAGAATCTTTCATAAGGAGAACCTAAAATTTTCTGACCAGTGTGTGACAGTAGGAGGAAATCTGTTGTAATGCCTGTAATGGAAGCCTGGTTGTGTGTTTTCAGTCTTTTTTTCTCCTGGCCTCTTGGTGGCAGGGCAATTAGAGCTCAAATGTACAGGGGAAAGCTATCCCAATACAGTAATCAAAGCAAACATTATATAGATTTTAATTGCTCCAACAAGAATGAAGTATTTGTTAGCTGAAGTAGCTTTATTGATTCGAATGAGGAGATGTATTTATTCTGTTTTGTGCAGTGCTCCAAGCTGTGTATGCATTTAATGCTTATGAACTCAGAGATGAAGGACTAGAGAAGTTCTGTGTCAAGCTGTAGAAGAGAAACTGTATCACTTCCAAAATGGTTATTCTAATGTTCTTTTCAAAAGCCAGTTATAATACTTGCAGTTATCATTATCATCTTATGAAAGACCTTTATGTTTCACAAACAGCGTGATTTGTTTAAATCACATAATTAACAACATTCTTGACTGTTTAGTAATAATTAGTTTGTTTTCATAGAAATACTCTGTTTCATCTATCTGTATAGAGGCTGAAAAATATAACAAATATGCTCAGTCTCAAGGCTGAAGATGAAAAGTTTATGAAAATAAAAATCACCCACAATGACAACACGTGATCCTGTTTTAAGTATGACCCTTAGCTTCTTAAAGCTCCTGTTATTCAATGCTAGAAAGTAACTTGTGTGATTGGTGTTACCACAGTAGTTTAAATTGACAGGTTTTTTTCATCTGAAGACATTATTAGGAATTCAGCTGTGCATTTCCTCATGTGCAACACAGACAACATCAAGCAAAACTTGAAAAATAAAGAGAAGGCTTCCCTTGCTTCTGAAGTCTAACCAGGATAACGTGCATTCCTTGTAACACACACTGAAAAGAAGTTTAAGTTTTGTCCCAAGAAGATGTAGTTATTCTACATCTGCTCTTATTTCAAATGAAGTTCTGTAGAGATTTACAGAAACTGTCTCAGGCCCCTTGGGAATAAGTTACCTCTGTGAAAAAACCTTGTGCCCTTTCACCTATAGGACTCTACTGTGAAGATAATAGTGAGAGACTTATTTTGGCTAGGGAGCATTGAAGGTTATCTGCAGCTGTCTAATTTATTACCACTTCAATTCAAGACCTACATTTTTATTCATTGTTTCTCTTATGAGTAACGTTTTGAAAGGTAATATCAAATAAATGGACCTGTGGCTGTGGCCCAACAATGCTTTATGTTATTAGATGTCTCAGTTGTTCTGTGTTCAAGGATGATTAAAGTATCTTGAATGGAGTTTCTTAGTTCATTTCATTCTATGTGCATACATAAATTAGTTGATGCTAATCTATTAATAAAAACTTAATATTCTACATTATTATCTTTAAAATGTAGCAGGTTTTTTTATCTTTTATCTTTTTTTTTCCTTTTTTTTATTCAGAACTAGAACTACTCACACTCTCCTCAAGAGTCTGATAAGATTTAGATTACAATACTGGCTTGATAATGGTCAAGACTTTTGCTTCCTCTGAATAACATGAACTCTAAGATGAAAAGTGATACTTTCCCTTCTAACTAACATTAGTCATTATTTAGTCTTGAGATTATTAAAACCAGTTCTGAAATGTAGAACAATACCTTACCACTGAAAAACAGGATACGGTAAACTCTGTTTTCTTGGTCCAAACAAAGTAGGACCAGCAATCATGCTATCTGCAAGATTAACATTCCCTAAAAGCTCCTCCTTCTCCAGACCACAGGAGGTAAAAAAAGGGCAGAACTTGATTTTGACAAGGTTAGACCACAACAGACTTGCCTGGAGACTCATTGATTTCTCTGGAGTTGAATTGTTCCAAGTAGCAGCAATGCTGGCTCAGTTAATGATCCCTTTGAAAAGCAAGTTTTAATGATCAAGTGACGAAGATAAAAACCATAGAGTGGAAGAGAGTAGACATGGGAGGGGGACAAGACAGACTATTACCAGACAGTCTCAATACTCACAGGGAGTGGGAGTAAGTTCATTAATTATTGGAGACCTTGGATTCTTTCTGCCTGCTTTCCATGTTCTCAAACGTGTCCTGGAAGAGGAAGGCATAAATTGGAACTGAGAAAGGGTAGCATTTTGGAGGATGCTGGCTGACTTTTTTATCTTTTCATTTTTTAGCAAATAAGGAAGATTTGGTTACTTTAGAGGAAAATTGAAGAACTGATCACAGTTTACAAGGATGAACATGTGGGAGGACTGCAGGGGATGGAACACTGTAAAAGTAATAGGACATAGTATATAAGCAGCAAGATCCTGTTTCTTAGAAGGATCAAATAAACAATATGATCATAACTAGGACAAGATTCACAGTTACAAGCCAAGAAAAGATTTCATGATTCTTGTTCTTCCCCACACCTCTAACATTTCAGGGATTGTCAGAATCCCTCCAGGAGTACAGAACATCTCTAGCCATTTCTCCTTTTTGTTTTTTTTTCCTCCAAAAGGAATTTATTTTTCACTTAAATTTACTCCACATATGCTTTCCATCTTTCTCCGCAAAAATATCATTCTCACAGTGATGCAGCTTGCAATATGGTAGCTGGGCTGCGTTTGAGTATGTGATGGAAGGTAGTGCTGTAACTTTATCCATTTAGCCAGATTTTTAACCAGATTTTTGTGCATGGTAGAGTTTTTTTGTTTTGGTTTGGTTTGGTTTGTTTTTTTTTAAAAAATGGGAGTTCAAAGAGTGCAAAGGAGTCACTGTGTAGTCTTACCCCATTCTGGCATAGGTCCAGACCTTTTGTTGCCCTATTAAGGACATTTGTCTGCCCTAGGAGTACCATGTGTCCTTAATGTTTACAAGAGAATTAAGATTACCAGTGATAGTGGTCTTAGGATAAAGAGGCAAGTCTACATTCAATACCTTGTTTATACTCCTAGCTGGTTTTCCCAGAATTAGTACACACATCAACAATTCCGTAATGTATGAGTAAGATCTGTTTATTCTTTACCACAGCTTCAGCATTAATCATTTATCCTTCTCCAAATCATCATAAAACTCTGCACTGTGGAAAAGTACTAAGAGATGTTTAGTGTCTTGGAACAGGATCAGGCTTAGACCTAGTCCAGATTTAACAACACTGTTTTGCACAGGGATGTTACATTGCAGGACAGCTCTCTGCTCAAACATAAGGGAGTTTTTCAGTTTTCCATTCAGCTGTGCCTTGCTTTCAACCAGCAATTTTGACCAATAGATTTTTAGAGACATCCAAATGTAACCATACATAAATTTTTGAGAACACGAGATCATTTATGTGGTACTTTTTGCACAAGTTACAGAAAAAAATTATAATCTCTGAAGATCCCTTACATCTTGCAGTGCTGTAGAAAGCTGCAAGGACAAAGCTAATGGAGTTTTCTTGGATATTGGACTGGTGTCATGCTTACTCTCTGCTGATGAGTGGCATAATTAAGAAACTTGTGTCAGTCTTGGGCTTATGATAGGAGGAGAAAGACATTTTTAGATCACTGCATCTAGTGGATTCCTTTGGAAGCACTGATAAATAGACGCAGCTGGTGGCAGAACTAGAAGCTGAGCTGCCCTTTTTTTTTCCTGTCTTCTATGAAGTATTAGTACAAGATGAACAAGGTGAAGGTGATTGGCGCTGAGAAATATCAACTGGAAAATAACAGCAAATAGAACTTATATTTGTGTGGGGTTGCCTAAACCCTGCAAAAACATGGAAAGTCTTCCATACTTTGTCTGCTACTGGTTTCCTGAGAACTTCAGCAGAAACCACTTGGTGAGCTAACTCCTTTCATAGCTGCTGAAGTGTTATAGTAGCTTTTATAGCTACTGAAGATTGTGTGCTCATTAGCAGATTGGCCCTGCAACTACACAGACATTGCTGCAGATCACTGTGGGAGGTATGTTTCTGGAAACTCACTTGGTATGGTTTTCACCTCTCATGATAACACTTTTCATTTGGACCACTCAACTCCTTGCAGTTTTTAATTCAGCTGGTCTGCAAATAGAGATACTGTTTTCCCCACGTACAGTATTTATGTTCTTCCACATTTCATCCCAATAGAATTAGTGCTAAAGGTGAACATTAAACCAAAGAATGATTCCTTTCATTGTATCTGCTGCTGACACAAATGTTCTTTGTATCCAGAATCTCCTGCTAGTACTCTTATGAACTACCATGTACCTCTTGCAGGAAAGCAAGTGTTCACAAGCTTAAGGAATTCCATAGTCATTTTATTGATGGTAATTCTGTTAGTTGTGTGCTCTGAGACTGCTGCTGGTGCAAAGTCTGGTTTGGCTAATGGATTCTGCACACAGAACATACATTCAAGAGGAATTCTCCAGGGAATTGAAAAATAGGCTGTTACCCCTTATATAGACACCAGAAGAAAAGACAAAAGAACCCTCCAAACTTAATACAACAATATTTATAAAGTGTGGTTCAGCCTGCATGGTGGGATTTCTAGAAACTTTGCTTACATGTTTGTAACCCTGTCTAATGACAGAAGAGTTTGCTGTGAGTACCTAAACCATATGTAGATGGCTTACAGTCTTTCCTCAGACATTTCTAAAGATATGTGCCTCATGTGGTTTATCTTTTTTTGTCCGTCCGTCTGACATGCACAGTCCCCAGCATAATCTCAGTGTTTTTTTGAGGAAGATGGGGTGAGAACAGGCTGTCATTCTTGTGGAGACGTTCACTCCCTTGCCCAAGCAAACTCTGCTGCCTCTAGGAAGACAGACAGCTGGGAGCTCCTTGGTCAATGTAAGTACTCACCATCATTAACCTCAACCACATCTCACTCTCTCAGTGTGAAGAAAATGTGTTGCCTACCAATATTGCTTTACCCTACGTCTTCACAACTCCCTACCAGTCTTTCAGACTCATTGGCAGGTGCCACAGGCTGAGAAACACTGACTTAGAGGACTGCTGGTAGCCTAGTCAACCACACTGCAAAACCCAATACCAATTGATGGCAAAGCAAACTACACAGTTCTGCAAATCCCAGCACACACCAAAAATCCTGGCAATTTATTTTCGTGTGGAATATGGAGTAAGATCTTATGAACATATATGAACTGTGTCTGGAGGAAATCCTTTTTGTATTAGAGAGGAATTCACACAAAAGTGATTGCCATACTTTCAAGCAAAAGTTTGTGAGTTGTCTCCTGAGAAAGCTAAGGGACAGAAGTACTTCTTGTTGGCTGTAAAGTACCAATAGGCGTGACACAAAGAGGATTAACCATGTCAAGAGTTTGGGAACTTGAGGATGAACATTTTTGGTCTAAAACCACAAGGTCTTGTGCTTCTGAACTCTTCAGGTCATGCTCGGTCTGGATATGTCTTAGCCAGATATTAAATTGAACTCATTTAGAAATCCCAGAACTCATTAGGAATCACAGAAAGAAAGGCTGGAAGTTGATCTCACTGCCTGAAGGACAAAAAAGTTAGCCCATGTCTCAAGCACAGTTAGAAATGGCAATTAAAATCTAATTCTAATTAGCAGCACTGGATGCTACTCTAAATAATAATTAAAAAAAAAAAAAAGGTGCAGATTTGTTGTGCAGATTCTTGCTGCAGATGTAGGCAAGTAGTAGACAATGTGCAAGTTAATCACTGCCACAAGAGCAAACAGACTAGATTGTAAATAAAAAACCACACACTACAGATTTCTTTTGCTATATGAATTATTGTCAGACCAGACATTAAGGCTGATGTTGGGGCCAGAGCAAACCGTTTAGGCTTTAGTATCTGGTTCGATTTCTAGTTAATTAGGGTTGAGAAGTTGGAAAGTTTGCAACTCTGTTGCATAGCTTTTACCTGCTCTGAGGACATAAATTAGGACAAACCCCAGGCTGTCAGTTTTCTATTTCTAATAATCATCCAATAAAAATTACAGAGAGGCAGGAAGTCTCCAGCTGCCAGCTCAGACTCATTACTGTGGGTCGTGTCATCTGGAGAGCCAAAAGAAGTGAGGAAGGATCCAGGAACTCTAAGTATTAAAGGTAAATTGTCTTTTATTTAACCATTATTACTGTAAACATCAGGAGATGTGAAAACGATGTCCCAAATAAGGCAATTATTATAAATAGGCACTGCATTTGATCCTTTCAATTTATGACCACAGTATAATACATACTTTTATTAATTTGAGCAGCACTAGCTCCTGATCCTGCATATATCCCACCATGCAATAAGTTCAGAAATGTGACTACTGCTATTACTATTCATGTGTGTACATCCTGCAGTGTGCCTAGGGCCAAGATCCTGAAAGTTCAGCATCTAAATATCTTCCGAGATTATGACCTACATTAAACATAATTGAATTTGCGATACATTTTGGCATAATGCTTCCAGAAACTACACTAATAACTGTAATAATCCCTAACCTAACTGTTACAAGGGAGGGGAATCATGTTAGAATTATAAGAAACAGAAACACATGGAAATACTTAAACTATGTCACCCAACATTATATATTGTGCTTTTTAATTGCAAGGAAGCTGGGACTGCAGTGAAAAACAGCAACACTTGTGAATTTGGACTGCCATTACTGTCACATTTTGTTGAGTACTACATTTATACACATTTTAATGGTACTCAAAATAGAATGCCAAGCCTTCTCAGCTTTGCTTGCTCTATAAAAAGAATCTGAAGTCAAAGTCTAGAAGCAAAGGAAAGAAAAGGAAACAACAAAAAAAAAAGATATGAAGAAAGAATAGAAAAAAGAGGAAAAATCTATGTGATGACTTTCCTGGAAGCAATTCAATGGAAATAGTAATGATAAAACTATTCTAGAAATAAAGAGACATAAAACACTGTTCCTTAATGAAAGTAAATCTTTTTACTACTGTGAAACATATGAAATGCTACCTGTCAGTAGCTAAGCATAAACCAAAGCTTTTCTCTTCATCTTCAAAACCAGAAATCTCAAAAATGGACTAAATACAAATCCATTGATTTTCATTAGGACAATTCTGTACAGGTTTTTGAATAGCCCTTTAAAACAGCTTGGTTACTATTTACGTGCAACTTTTATAATAGAGCCCCAGGCTTTCATAATATGTATTTTATGACTTTCTGAAGGCAACTTAATGTATTATGAAGGAAAAGGAAAAGGAAAGCAGGCAATTTATCCCAAAGATGTTTGGCTACCTTCTTACTTGTAATTCCATACAGCAGTAAAATGTCTGGCAAATAAGGGGAAAAAAATTGTCCTCGTTTTTGCATATGGTGAATTGTAGAACCCATATTAATATTCATAGCCTCTCCTCTATCTCACCTTGAGCAGCTTTAACTACAGCTGAAAGGCTGAGTCTCGTGCTTCAACGGAGACCTTTATCTTGGCACTTGCTTAAATTCTGCTTCTCCAAAATGGTATAAGTAAATTTGCATACACTGAACTTATAACATTAAAAAGATATGTTTTCACTTCCAAAACACTACAGTCCCTGTTTCTGAGTTTATTACAGCTTAACTCAACTCAACCATGACTGGGCAAAGGCTGTAGAATGAGCTCTGCATACACATGGATGCTGAGTTGCAGACATGGTAGATGTGAAGTGGTATTTAAGATGCCTTTCAACTTGTTGGCAGCATCAGGTTTTTAAATCGTGTCTGTAAATGCAGCTTTTGAACATGTGAGGCCTAGAAATAATTCATCAGTATGGGATAATTCTTATTAATTCAAATTTTTATGTCACTGCTGCACCTCTGTAAGTCATGCTAAGTTAGCCTATCAGTTAAATCAGGGTGCAGGCAAGCTGCATATTTGGAAAGTACATGGAGAAGTTACCTTTGTTTTCAGAATTTATGAAAGGAACTCCAAGATACTGATTGTAGTGTCTTGCTTTGTGTCCCTGCCTCAAGGATTAACATTTTGCCTGTAATAATCATCTGAGCTCTTATTCCTTAATTTAATTTAAAGGTATATATAAAATTAAAACTTTAAATTAAATAGTTCAAAGGAAAATACTTTATCTCTCACTCACACAGTTAATGAGAAGGCGATGATACAAATATCCAACTTAGAAATGTAACTTAAAGTTTTGGTCTCAAACATTAGAGCAATTACAGAAGAGCACTGAGTCTGTATAAACATTCAGTGATACTAAACTCTTTCTAGGTTAACATAAGGAGAATAAAATTGTTTGAAATTCATTGGCACATGAACTAGACTTGAATTTCTTTAGCAAAAGTGGGTTCCTTGCTCTGCTGCCGTGCAACTCAGACCCCTTATGGCAATTGTGTCACGTAAAGATGAGCTGCAAAGATTTGCACTGTAGCTGTGCTGCTTGTTAAGACAGTGTGTGTTTGTAAGGACATACAGTCATGTGGAAATTTGTGATTAGGTCCTGTATCTGTGCAGAGCAACATTAAGATTAGTGGGGCTGAACACAATTTCAGGAGCTGTCCCATACATACTTCTTCATCAGCCTAGAATGCAGAAAACTCAGGAAAAGCTCTGTAGCTGTTGGGAAAATATAATCTAAGATTTTCCTTTTTCCTATGGCAAGGACATAACAGTGTCTCAAATCACCTAAATATTATCGTAATAATTGACATACTCAATTGGGAAATATACTGAATTTGCCTTGGGAAAAGAGGCAGGACAAAAAGCTATTCTGACACAATTATTTTACATGGAATGCAACAGGTCATGTAATCACAACCTATATTAAGCCCTGCATAATTACATTTTTTCTTTCAGATCACCAAAGCAGTGCAATAGCTGGAATGATTATGAGTGCCATGAGCTGAATAAAAATACAACCAAGTATTTTAGCTGAACGTATCCTGCCCAGGATACATATCCTGCTGCCAGATCTGGATATGACTTTTGTACAGAAATTAACCATACCCTTCCTTTGGTAGAAAGAATTCATAGCAGCAAGTGCTTCCCGTTGAGGGTGCAGCAACAAGCTGCCTGCTAATCTTGCTTCCCTGGAGGCCCTGCAGCTGCCTTGCTCAGCACTCAGAGTAAGTTAGATAAGTGCTTATACATCACAGCGACAGGCATTATAAATATCCTGCTTGGCTGTGCTTGTGAAGCTGCATTAAGTTCAGTGCAATTTACATGTGCAACTGGAGGCACAACACTCGTGTGGTTCTACCCGTTAACCGCACATGCAGTGACCTACCCGACCATCCAGCTAAAATGCCTGATGTCCAAAGATGCCAAGCTGACTCCTTTCTGCCAGCACCTACCTGGGAAGCACTGATGTTATCAGCAGATGTGCACTGCTGAAGTGGCTGAGTGCCTGCTCTGTGCACTATCAGGTGGCATCAACAAAGACCTCAAGCTGATGGCCTTGGGGACAGTCAGCATTCCCTTGCCACTTTTATTCCCAACCACTTCAGTAGGAACTCAGGGCATTTTAAGTCTCCCAGTTCTGTGCCCAGCCCAGCTGTCAATATAATCTTGAGCCATACAACATTTTGGAAACCACCTGTGTTTTGCTTTTAATGTGACCTGCAGTTGAGCCATTGGTGAAAGAAGCTTCAGCTCTGAGTAATCACACTGTCTGCATCAACATGATTAAGCAAGCAATACGTTCAGAGCTTTGCAGATGAGATAAATTAAAGCTTTTTGTTCAATGGCATTGAATGCATTTGAGTTAAAAAAGGGCGTATAGTGTCCCTTCAGTAACCCTGCCTTGTCATCATGATACACCACCCTGTACTCCTGGATCAGAAAGATTAAGAGAAGCATTTACATCTTGCATTAATGAAGCAACAGATTATGGGGTTGTGCACTCTGTTTGCTTTTTTTTTTTTTTTTTTTGAACAACCTAAGAGAATCGCAGTTCCAGTGGGCTGAACAGGATGATCTCAGCTGACGTCTGGAAGTAATTTTATAATTGCCCAATAAGTCAGAAATGACAAAATATACTTTTTTTCCCATGGCACTGAGACCACCAGTTGCTGTATTTCCTGCCATGCTCTATGCTGTTTGTACTCAAGAGGCTTCTTTTCAAGAGGAAAACTGTTTACATTGATGAACTAAAATAAGATATATTGTGCAGTGAAGGATATTTGGTTAGAGAAGAAAAAGACTGGGAGAAGGAGAGAGAAAATAAAAACAATAAATAGTGACTTGAGCCTTCAAGCCTTCAAACATTCTTCCTTTTTCTTTTTTTTTTCTTTTAATAGTGCTTTGAGGTTTGTTTTGGAACAATTTCTCAACAGAAGTCCTAAGGTTTCTCACAGATGAGAATTATTATTTCCCAAAGTTGTTTTTTCTATCTGGTTGCAGAAAGGAACACATTTACTTTCTCAAACAAAAGGCACCTGTAACCCTACCATCATTAGAGAGGTTCATGGTGAATCTCAGTAACCTTTGTATGAGGAAACTTTGCTCAAATTGATGTTTTAGCAACAAAGTGTGGTGTCAAGAGGTGCAAACCCAATCTCTCCTATTTATTCCCAAACCTTCTGTGAACCCAGAAAATAATGATGATAAATCCCACTTCCTCATTGTACTGTTATAGTTTAAGGTAAATACAATGAGTCAGATCTCAAAACAAAAAATTCCTGAACTCCTTTCAGAGTTATTAAAGTATCCCTCTCCCTTGCCTAACACATCTGTCACACGAGTAGAAGACAGCAGACAGTGTGGTCTGCAGCCACATTTGCATGGTCACCCTCATTCAGAGGCTCTTACTCATGAGTATATGCAGTACAAAGACAAGCTGCCATACAAACAGAAAGGAGGTTGGATGCAATGAACCAAGCAGCCATCCTTGTGTGTATTATTCCCTGTCCTCTGCTGCAGAAAGAAGCTATGTATTACATACCCAGATCAGGTCAGTCTTCTGTGGCTGGGCACCAACCACCTCATTCCTAGAGATGCTCTGCTTTTTTGGGTTGCAGAGGCTGTGTTTGTACACCGCATAATATAACAAAGATCTCAGGTCTCAGGTGTGACCTGCAGGTGATAGTGTAATAAACTTAATAGGGAAGTCATATTTTGTGATGTCCTTTGTCTTTTTACAAGGACATTAGGCACTTTGAGGTTGGACAGTTAGGATTATTGCTTTCCGAGTGTTAAGCTCCAAATTCTGTCTTGTCTGATTAACACCTTCTATAGTTTATTTGCAGGTGTCAGTGGATGCAGTGGGGCTGCCTGTAAGCAGTTCTTCACTGTGACAAACTTAGAGAGACCAAGTGACTTGCCAAATATTTTTTTCCAGGGTGCCTGCTGCATACAATCTGTCTTTTTGGCATCTACAAGCCTTACGAACTGCATGTCCTCCCGTCATCTGCTATTTGGCTATTGCCTTGTTTAAAACAGGTTTTTTGGAACTTAAATGTCAACAGGTGTGACAGAGTGTATGAAGGCATGTTGTACAGAAACGTGACTAATTAAAATCTTCTTTTCACTTTAATTTTTATCCCATTAACAATTAAAGTAAAAATCAACATGCATACAGAGCCCTGTGACTTTTTCTAAAAAAAAGTTCTCTAATTAATACAGCTTCTAATTAATGAAGTCCTACAATCTGTGTCGGTTTTAAGTCATCCCAACTCATATACATCTTGCTGTTTACTGCAAGCCTGGAGTCAAGCTAACCTGTCAACCATTTTGTACACAGCATTTCTGGAGTAGGGGCAAGGGTCTGATCAACATCTAACTCAAATAAGCAGCTTCCAAACAGATGGGATTGGAGACCTGGCAGCCGAAATCCCCATTCTGTTCATCGACTGTGGGCACAGAACATAGCCTGTCCAGACAGATTTTGCACCCTTAGTTAGCAAGCCTATGGCAAAGGTGTTGTACAAGGAGGTCTGTGAATCTTTTAGAGCTCTGAATCCCAAATTTCACACATGTTGAAATGCCAAGTGGTAGAGAGTATTTGTGTCTTATTAAAGTGCTCCTCTGCATGTATTTCTGCAGAACAGCATTCCACAAAGAAAGAAACAATTTTTTGGCTCATATGTTACTTTAGAGGTGAAGAGCTAGCAGAGGAGCTGGGAGCATGTACCTCATTATGACAAAGAACAGCAACAAAGAACATACACTCTATCTTTCCCTCTTGTTTCTCCTTAGACACACAAAAGAAAAGAAAATTCATGGGTTGTGCTTCATCATGTACAGTTGCTTAGACTGAGGGGAAAGCAAACCACATGGGCTCCCATTCATACCTCTCCAAAAGACTAACCAAAACACAAAGAAATGGGCTGCCCTTAATATAAAGGGCACGATCCAGAACACCTACCTCGTATCCCAAAGTGCTGACTTATGCTTATCTCTCAGCATCTGTAACTCCCTGCCCTGTGCAGCTTTATTAGGATAAATAAAGGAAACATGTCTGAGGGCAAAAGACGGAGAGAAGCGAGGCTTTTAATAATTATTCACTAGAGATTGATTCTTCTCAGTGCCTTATCATCAGTCCTACAGTCACTTTGCTACACTCAGGGTCAGAGTAATCATATTGTGTATACTTGTTTGTGCAAGCGTGGGTGAAGTAAAGGGAAGTACGAAATGTTAGGAATTCCACTGTTGTAACTCCACCCTTGTTGCTTCACAATGAGATTTTCCTGTGTTCCAGGTACTGCCTATTTATCTCTTAACTGTCATTGCCTTTCCCACTCTGCTTAATCCAGGCAGTGCTGTAAGGTTAACACGGAGGTTGGGCACAGAATCTTTTTGCATTATGCCAAAAAGATTCACTAAAATAGGTCTGCGTAAAAAACTTTGTAATGAATTCACAAAGCCTCCTGTAAATGCCTAAGGACTTTGCACTCTATAAATATTTAAAACAAATATCTCCCAATACATAAACACACTCATTTCCTGCTGATAAACCCAGACGCATCAGCAGGGGCGGAGGGAAGGCAGTTATTTGTGCTCAGATGTTGTTTAGCATATCCCTGGATGCAATGAAACTTTTTTGTGTTAATTCTTCCTTTTCACTTATCCTTTTCATCATCAGATAGCATTTAAAAATGCTGGAGATGTAATCCAGCTCCTAATCTTAGCTAATGGGAGCTGTGTCTAATTAAAAACTCATCAGTGTAAAAATATGTTTTGTTCACAGCTAAAGGAAAAAAAGTACAAACCCCAACTCTTAAAAATTCCATCTTGCAATATTGCTACTTTTATTTCTTGTGCATGATCTGTGCAATTAGCAGTACTTTACCTCCATTAAACAACATCACATACGTGCAAAAAAAGTCTTGTTTACACTAGACAGTTTGGGAAGAGGACAGATGTTTTCTAACACAGGAGTCAGCTCATCCACTACCGAAAAGTAACAACGGTAATGCAGCTCCTGCCTGCTCAGTCTATTATTATTATGCAGCAGAGAATGAATACTACTGCTACTACTACTAATAACAAAAAGGTATCAAGTACTACCTATCAAGGAAAAACTACACAGGCAGAATGTTTCTGTATAATGAACTATGCATCCATATCATAAGGGTCTTCAAACAATTAGGCTTCATTTTTCTGCCTCAGCTGTGTGGTGCCCTCTCTCATCCTCTTTGCCTGCTCTGATTCTGACACAAGTTGGATTCATGGAGTGCACACATTCAGCAAATGTTGCCATCGTGTCTGAGGCATTTGGGCTCCTCTGAATGCTCTGCTGGGTAACTGAACCCTGGCTCTGTTCTTCTGACCTAGTGCCATCTCTGAAAGGACACAAGGACAGCAGATAGAGAGAACTAGCTTCAGCATTCTGAAGTCTGGCACTGCCCCAGAGCTCCAAGAGATGCTTCACTGCCCTCTCCTGAAATCTACCAGGTGGTGTGTGAAAGCCCAGAAAGCGTGCAGACTGTTGTCTTTGCAATTTCACAATTTAAATCCACTGCACAGCTCAAGTAGGTATGTTGTTTACTTATCAGTGTTTGTTTGCATTGCTGCATTTCTACCATTCCTACTTAGAGAACAGCCTTCCTCTCCCCACTTCCAGAACAATGCCTTGCAGGGAAACACTAATATACTCAGGAGAGCTCCTGCTGCCTTTGCATGGGAAAGAGTGCCGATTGCATGTGGAGATAGAGTCAGGTTATGTTTCCGCTTTTCTAAGTTCAAGTAAACTTCTTCAATTTATTTAGTAATGTGGAATTAACTTTACATTTAAAATAGGTCCTGTCCCCATGAACTCAGAATATCAGGAAAAAGCTCCTTGGGTTTTCAAGGCTTTAACCCTTGCAGATCTGGAGAAGCTTCCTCCTTTCTCCCTTGTAGCAGCCAAGAACAGCACAACCGGAGGGGGAGTGAAGCAAGCCAGGTGACTACAAAGATAGGTGTACAGACCTATGCACAACACTTTAGGTCTGCCTTTACAGGCACAACAAGGTTTGATTTTCTATTCTGTCCTTTGCCTTGCTCTGTTTGCTCCAGTGCATGATCTTCCTTTTCAAGCAGCTCTACAGATTACCTTATATTGGTACCACACTGATATCTAGCTGTGGCTGACAGCATGCAAAAGTTGCTGTGTACACTGCAGGGGAACATGCCATCAAGTGCCTTTGGGAGCCATTCATGGACAGCTGTATTTTCTTTCATTTAAATACTCCCTTTTACAGCTAGCCGAATAAACCAAACCATCTGAACCATGTGTCAGCTAAGCTTTTGGTGGTGGCTGCAGGATTTATTCCTTTTTTTTTTTTTTCCTGTAAGTGAATGAAAAGTAAAGTAGGCTTGCTACTGGAAACATTGTTATTGTTATTGCATTATCAAATACCAACAAACTAGACTTGTCATCTATACCTATATGACACCTACAACCAGGGCTCAGGCTTGGCTGCTTGAGGCATCATCATCATCATAGATAGTGTGTGGTGAAATAAGTTCTGATAATCTCCAAAATAATACTTCAATTCTCCCAGTGTTACATTAAGCTGTTTAAGGCACACAAAGTCCAGATCAGACAGTTATGTATATACATGTAGAGAACCTAGGAAGCTTTAGAGACACATGGAAATGGTCCAGCCAACAGCACTGACAAAACTCAAGTGTGGCATTAGATCCTACCTAAGGAACACAGGCAAACAGAGTGAAAACTTGTTTCTCTGTGTAACTGGTGAATAAATTACTGCTTGAGCTGATTCTCAATGCAGCTCTTCTCCCAATAAACAACTCTGCCAAGGAAGAAGTGTCACCCTGAAGGGCACCATTTCTGCTATCAGAGCTACACTACTACTGCTCTGAGCCCCTGCTGGACCTCAATCCCTGCTGGACCTCCCAACCCTGAAAGCCTCCTGAGTGGGATAAGTCATAGGAAGGAGCATTGCTAGACCCTCTGGAAACTGGTGTTCCTGATATATATCTTCTCTTTTTAATCTTAATTTCTTCCCTTTTCCCTTTTACCTTCAGTTTTGACTACCTGGTCAAGTGGACCCCTTGCAGCACCACCAAGGCTCTGTGAACAGTGAAGCCAAAACAGCCATGTACTAAATAGCACAGAAAAGAGTTGCAAGCTTACTGGATTGTGCTGGGCTTCTCCTCAGCCATCACAGGACTGGAGAGGTGCAAGGAAGACACATCACTAGTGGTAGAAACTCTCTTTGCTGTGTGACTGTGAGTGTTTGTCTTCAGGAACCTGAAGCTGGAGTTTAATGGCAGCTGTCTAGACCATCTTAACAAACTTGTTTTCCCCTGCCAAACCCAGAGTTTCATCCAACTTAAGACTAAATATTTGTTTTCTGTTCCTCTAAATAATTAAGCTCTATAATTAAAGGGTTAAAGGAAGGCTGATTGAAAAGCTTAATACTCTGTATTTCATTTTTTTCTTAATTTTTCTGAATTTTTATTGAAAGTAAAAAAAAATTTAATGATGCTTTTTGCCATGAGACACAGGTGAAATCTGTTCTCAAAAGCCTGAGCCTTGTTTAAGTATACAGTGACAGGGTCATGCTAATGCCGTTGACTCTTTAGACCAATTTATTCCATTTAAAATTACCACAACATCAACAAGTCCTTGGTCTCTCTGCAGTCAGCAATGCTGCCAGTTGTGATGATGGTATTTGCAAATGAAACCTTGCCTGCTGTGAGCTGCTGGGTTTAAAGGCAACTGCTAGACATTTGAATCCAATGTTAAGCAGAAGCATAATGATGTTTTGGGAATAAACTCGTAGCAAGTTTCCAATTTGTCTTAATTTCTATGGTACTATATTTCTTCAACAGCTTGAATAATACCATGAAGATTGTTTTAACTTCACCAAGTATATCTCCTTGAATGGAGGTATATATATGGTCTGATGTCTATTTATATTTCCCACTTCTATATTCTTAATTTTTTTTTTCCAGTGTAATCCTCTAGTTCTTCATCCTTTGCCCTCTATCCACATTAGATTCTCCTCTTGTCTGTCCCCACAGATGCAGAGATGAAGAGAATTTATTTGTTTTCTCTTCCCACAGGATGAACCTGGGGGGGCATGTCTTCCCACCTTTGTCAGTCACTGTACTGAGATGTTCACAAGCACTACAATGGCATATGTTCAGCTAACAGAAGTAGTGAAGTTATGCATGGTAAAATAACTTACTCACCAATATTTTCTATTATGTGAAGCAGATTCTTTCAAATTGCTCTGTTCAAACAGAGCAATACCTAGCCAGGCAGTTTTATGGAGAAGCAAGCTCAAACCTAGAAAGTGTTTTTGCCTTTTTTTTTTTTTTTTTAAATCAGATTTTTGCACAAGCTTTGTCTATTTTTGCTTCTAAAGTAAGAATAGGTATTAGCAATTACATATGCAGGGACCACCTCCACTTGGAGCTCAGTGTGGCCATTACACCTCTCCTGAGCAGCTACAGAACAGCACCTGGAAGAGGCAGAACACTGCACCTGCTTCCTGGAAGTGTAAATGTGACAACCCATGCTGCAAAGGAGATAGAGCCTGACCATGCTCTGCTGTACACACCACAGTGTCTTATCCATCAAACGACTGGTAGGAGGAGCATTACCAGGGCAAGGAACTGAGAGAGGTGAAAGGAGAAGTGACTGAAGCATTCAATGGTTATAAAGGAGCACTTCAATGTGTTTCTGCTTCAATGGCAGAGTACAGTGTGATGAGAGGGAAAAGAAGTGCAATATGCAGACTTCGGAGATAGCAGCAGTGGGGCACAGTGGAAATTGTGCAGTAGGTAGACACAAACTAGCAAATTGGAATGGAATGGCTTTTTTTCTACTCTAACAAGAGAGCTTTCATACATACCTGTTAATGAATAGGGCACCCTTCACACTCAATATCAAAAGAAAGTGCAAATCCCAACTGCATTTGCTTTCACTTACTCATTGTTTTAATCACTGAGCAAGGAGTATCTAAGTGTGCAGTAGAAAAACTATGATAACTGCCAAATTTTCATACCAAAATAGAGCTTTTGTCTCCACTCCTTTGATGACAAATTCTTGCTATACAAGAAGAAGGGTAATTAATGGCAGAGATTCAGGATGAAGGCGGTGATTCTGCTGCTGCTGCTATTGTTGCACTTCTCACTGGAGTGCTCCTGGTCTTACTGAACATCTTGCCAATTAATTTTGATTTCCAGTGGTTTACATCTGTTTCCCCAGGGTAGGTGTCAGAAGTCATGGTCATTTTTAACAGCCCATGTAAAGGCAAGTTCATCTACTTCACTGGGGTGATGGTTACCTGGCATTATGCAAATGGAGAAATTCAGGCTTTATCAAAGACAGAGGGAATTCTGAACAAGGCAACAATGGGGCTGAGCTCTATTAAATCTAAATGATTTCCCGATCCCACAAAACATGCCTGGCTGCATTACTTGAAGCCGGGCTAGTGAAAAACCTAGTTGTAATCACCTGGTTCTCAGAAACAACTCAGCAAGCAGAGGTTAAAATTCCTCTTCGTGACCACCCAAACTGTCTCTCGAATTTCAAAAATTGTTAACAGTATTTAAGAAATGGTGGCTAAGAAGAGAAGAGAGGGGAAATAGCCATATTTTAAATTGGTGCATCTTCTTTTTTTCTTTCTTTTTAGCAGAATTAATTGTAACTTTCTTCTTTATCTGGGAAGAGGGAAGCTTTTGATTTGAAACAACGTAGCAAGGAGCACATGCAAGCAGAAATGGGCACGGGTCTTTGGGACTTGGACAGAAAGATCAGTCACTTTTGGATCAGAGGTGCTGGCATATCACTGAAACAATCTGTTGAGGCAAAGAACAAATGGACTGCACACTGGATATCAGGACTCTGTATTGCCTGTATCACGTTACCTACTGTTCAAGGTTACAAGACTAATGTACACAAAATAAGGTCAATCACAGCAGCATCTGATGCATTCAATGTATTTTTGGATGTGTGTGACTCCTCAATTTCACACCTGCGCAGCAGGGCTTGATTCCTATGTTACAATTGCTTCTGACTCAGTAGGCACTACAAATAATCAGTGCTCCTTGATTTCCTCACCTCTCTACCCTAGAAATCTGTTACCTATATTTGGTTTCATGCCAGATCAAAAGCAACTAATTCCATTTTTAGCCCTGAAGCTGTTTAATTGTTTTTCTCTTCCTCCGCCCCTTTCCTTCACTGTGAGAGGGTAATGACCCATTTTTGAATGGGTTTGTAACCCCCTCCATCACACAATTAACAACTGCTCCAAAAGGTCTACTGGATTCACAGAGAGAAAACAGCCTTAACATCCAGTCTTGTAACAACAACAGTCAGGCAACTTTGCTGTAATGCTAATCACACTTCCTAAATTTCATGCATTTGGAGTTTGAAAATTTCTTTAGGCAACACAAAACACACTGAAGATATTTCACTTTGGCCCACTGCCTCCCTGCAGACCTATCCCCTATGACGAGGTACAATGTGCTTGATTACCTACCTTCAACATAAATACCAAAATACACTCAGGATATAATTACTGCAGTTTACCTTACTCACCTACCTTAAACCTCTCTTGGTTATTGTAGATGATGGTTTGGGCCTTGTTTGCCAGCCTGCATGTTGTAGGAGAGCTCTGGAAGCAAAACAAGCTCTGTGGATAGCAAGGTATTTCAGGGAGGAGAAAATTTTGAATAAAAATTTTCTTGCAGTCAGAGAAAGAATGGGCAGAATGATTAGAGGGGAGATCTAGGATCAAGGATCTGACGATTCCTCTTGGTTTTCTTTTGTTGGTGTAGAAAAACATGCAAACACAACACAGCTGCTCACAGCCCTGTGGGCTGTACATGTTTTGGTTCTTCTTCCAGCAGTACAGGCAGCTAAAGTTGCAAGGGTAGAAGTCCCTTACAGATAAGCAGAAGCCACTACAAGGGATAACATGGCTCTACCTCTAACTGGAGTGTGTATGGCTTGCTTCTTTACGGAGTTGTTCAGGATTTCACCTTGGAAACTGCAACACTTCAGCCTGTGTTCCTTAGCACAGCCCTGGAAGAGCTGGTCACTGAGGAAAGTGCCCGCTACCAGGAGTCCTACCTTGTAGCAGAGGGAGTGAGTCTCCATGAGCATATTGCTGTACTCAGCACAGCGTGGTGGGACTGATGTGGGTTTTAGTAGAGCACTCACATATACCATATGCCATCAAAAAATCCTCTTATCCTTCAGTGATCCAAATGGCAGTGCTCTCAATGTTCCCAAAGCCAGCAACAGGACTAAACAGATCACTGTGCATGAGTTTGTGTGAAACTGTTGTAAATTTGTGATATTAAATGGATAGCCAGTATTTTATATAAATAGGCTCAATGGAATCATGAAATACCATCTTGTGACTTTCAGAATGGGGACGTTTATAGAGATGCTCCAACCAACTGTGACTGGAAGACTGATATACAGAGAACAAAGTGAACATTACTGGGGTTAAGTCAAAAATTTCACATTTTGAGAGACAAACAGGTATTTACCAGGGATGGTATATATTAAAATTAGTCACAGTTTCCTATTTAATCTGATTTTTACATTTGCCTTCCTAAGGAAGACCATAGGTATTTCAAGTACAGAGGACTAGATATCTGGTCAAATATCAGTCTTATTTTCACTCTGACTCCTATTCACAAATCATTTTTTTCCACCACAGCCATGCTTCAGGGCTACCTCTGTTTACAAAGCTTCAGTCCTTTTCAGGTTAGCAGTAAAAGGAGCTCAAGGAACTGAAGAATAGCCCTAATAGTCAGCTGAAGCCTTGACCATGTTTGTAGCAGGTGCTAGCCTAGCCCCCTTCAAGGTAGTTCATAAATTAATAAAATAAAAAGACCACTTGAAATATTATAAATAATATATAAAATAATAGAGACAAAGCATATGAATATTTCTCATAAAATCCCATAAAATGGATTCTAAGTATTTCAGTTTATTAATAAGGAGATTCTAACCTACAGCTCCAGGGGTAGAGAAATAGATTAATCATAGCATCCCCTTTATAAAAATCAAAACAAACCATGTGTTTTATCGAAGGTTTAGATGGGAACAAGGGGTAATTTTTGCCAAGTGGTTACTAAAGAATATCCACCCACCCCTATCATAGGTTTTGCAACTGGAAGGAGCCCAGGTGGCTCAAACAATGTTTGTCAATCCTGTCTTGATAGAGCAACTACCTTTTTCTGAGCTGCTGCTTTCAAGCAGATCAATTGTATTCAGTCAAGGTGATGGTGTTCATTCTGCAACACCTCCTTGACCTGCAGGATATTTCATTTTTCTGCAATGCACTGCAGCAACTGCATGGGTAAGACATGTCCCTTTGGCTTGCCATTTTTCTGGTAAGCTTATGTTTCCACAGGCATGTCAACACCTCCTTGGATATTAGCAGAAGTATAAATGTTAGTTTATGCTAATAAGTAATACATTGAAAAACAAAGAAAAGGTCAGAAACTGTAGTTTTATATTAAGTGTGATTTCCCCAGACAAAATAAATCTGATTCATGGCACATGCTTACAGTTTTCCAAGAGATATATTTATAGCTGTGAATATGTACTTTGGCTAACCCTATTGTAAGCACAGAGAAGGGAGAAGAGGAGGGTGAGGGGTTTTTTTCACTTTTAAAGTAAAAGAGGGAGGTTAATTGGTTCTGCTAGCTGAAGGGTTATGTGCCAGGCAGCAGGAGCATGCATTGTAATAGAAGAACTACGGAGACAAATGAGCCGGTCCACAGGATGAAAATATCCACATAATGCCTTGGGATAAAGAGAAAAAACCACCAAGGCACAAATAAAATAAAATAAAACTAGGAAATCTCTGGCTATTTCAGGTGCAGTGATATTAACCAGCATCTCGTGTAAGTAATAAACAATTTTTTGCTTAGAAGGGTAAAGAACATATTGTTTCTGTGCTGTAATTGCTATAAGAGGTGGTCAGGTCAAGACTGAAGTATTGCTTGGTTGTTACCATCAAATTTACCCTTTCTGGCCCAGAGACTCCAGAGCCCAAACTAGCTAAAGGCATTTTGTCATTAAAGGTTTTTGTCATGATCACAAGGAGCAAATCTCACTTATTTTCTCCCTTTATATTGGTGATGAATGATTTGTGTGAGCAAAGGAGTAGTGTCGTAAAAGCAAACAGGGACAGATCCCATAGACCTTAAAGGAAAATCACTAAAGAAGGGGACAGTTACTTCATGGCAACATTTCACAGGCATTTCCCATGACAAACTTGTATATAAACTTATCAAAAAATACCTACAGAAGGAAGGGAAGATCTTGATAAACAAAAGCAGCCTTTACTTAATTTTCTTGTTTATCCAACTTTTTTTTCTGCTTAGTTGCAAGGAGCTCATGGGCAAGATACACAATTTTGTGTAGGAAAGTTATTTGTCTTATTTCTTCATATTCCATCTACTTTTCTGTCTCTCTACCCTTTCTTTCTTTCTTTGGCAGAAACTACAATTCTCCTTCAACAGCGACCTGCTTTGGAGAAACTCTCCCTGTACTTATCCATCACTCTTAACTTAAGGTCACACATCATTTCCAAGGCTGACTGATAATAGTACCTCATACCATCCCAAGCCATACAAAAGCCAACGAGAGCACCTGGAGTAGCCCATCCTCGGGAAAAGCGTTAGATACCACTTACCATACTGACAAAACTGCTGTTAAAATACTACCAGTTCCTCTCAGGTCTTCATTTCTATTCACAGCATTATAAAAGATCAGGAAGTGGTACTATCTCTGTAGTACAGACAAAGTCCTATGAAAACTCATGGAAGGAACGACATGAGCCAACACCAGCGTGTGACAGCAATTTCCTCCAGGCCTAACTGGAGCCTGAATGAACAGAGCTTCAACAGTGTTTGATTCAATAGGAATTAAGAACCTGAATAGCTTTCAGAATCTGGAACAGCAAGATTAAGAGATGGGCTTCTGGAAGATATTTTGGAAGTCTGGAAGACTCTACATGGACCTAAGTGATTCTGGGTTTTAAGTTCCACTTTTAAACATGATCATAACATAACTTCTCAGGATCACACCTTTTCCATGATTTTCATAGGAATGTCCACTAGGATGAATAAGGGTTTGCAATTTGGATCAGACATAGTCTTTTCCTTCTAATAGATCTCTTACTTTATTGGATGTCACAACTCATCGGCTTAATATTCTTCCCCGTAATTGTTAAATTTGCTAAAATTTTGCACTCTGCCCTACAAAGTCTGAAATAGTTTAAAAATATATATTGCTAATGCAGAATTTGGCAACTGCTGTGACAATTCCACTGTGCACTGCTGAGGTGACTCTTTTTTCTTGTAGCTTTTATTAAATGGACTTGGGGAGGTAAGTCTACATTTCCTTTGGTAGGTCAGCTGTAAAATTTTACTTAATAGCTAAAATAAAGTTATGAAATGATTTCTACTGGGATTGAACAGATGTGTAACTGAGAGAAACTCAGAGGACATAGCAAGGAGTCCTTTTCCTTTCATTTCTTATTAATACAACACCAAATCAAAAAGCACTGCAATTTCTAGAGTGAAATTTCTGTTAGATTTAACAGGCTTTGAATCCATACTTTTTCATGTGCTTGGCATGTATGAGAGAACACCATTATTATTTTTTTGCAGGTTCATGTATTAAAAGACAGATCTTAGAAACTGTCCATCTGATCAAGCTCAGTGCATTGCTGTGTGAACTTTTAGTTTTTGTAAAAAAAGGTACATACTGTGTAGTTTAGATTATTTATTTTCTCATAGAAAATCTTGTGCATTAATATACAAAGCACTCATACACATAATATTAATGACTTAAAAATAGTAACCATGTGCAAAAAATATATTGTGTGGAATTAAACATTAACAATGGAATTATTTTACTTCCGATGTTTATTGTTTATTCTTCTGGAAGGGGTGACTGTTGTACAAAATGCTCTGTTACTCTTTCCAGTAAAAGGCCACATTAACATTTCTGAATGACCTGTTTTCAGATTTTCTGCTTTCCCCCTCTTACCTCATAAGAGGTAAGATGCTGTGCTTGAATTTATGTTAACATGATAATTTCTGTTTCTCAATCTTATTGAAAAAAACACAGATAGAATATTTATTGGAAAGCATGCAAGGGGGGATTTCTTGTTAGTTTGCTTTTAAATTTTCAAATTGAAACTAGAAGAGATTTATTTCTTTATGCATTGCTGTTGTTGATTCTGAGATCTTTCACAGGGGGAAATGAAGAATGGAGCATCAAATGAAATGGTTCAATAAGAACTAAGCAGGACAGTGGAAGATCACCATTTTGATTCTACCAGTTTTTAAAAATATATGAAATATGGCAAATTAAAAGGTAAGTATTTTTTAATGAAAACCTAAAACATTTTAATTTTAAAAAAATTTCTACAAGTTCCAAGTAAAATATTCACTTTTTCTTTTGCTTTTGTTCTTTTAATGGAACAATTAAGTAAAGCTTAGTGGAATACCCCCCAAATTTACATTTTTCTCCAAAAGAATTGCTTCAGCTAAAAACTGACACAACTCTGAACAAAATATACTTGATTAGATATTTTTTTGTCCTTTTTGGGATTTATTTGCTTCCTTGAAAAGTCTTTCTGAGTTCTACCATTTTCTTAGGTGAATTTAGGATAGTTAAAATGGAAATATTCAGAGAATAAATTAAAAAAAAAAAACAAAACAAAACCTGGGAAAGAAACCACCAAGAACTGTTGTAATCATCTGGGAATACTATTGTATGCATGGTTGAAAAAGTACATGTTGTTATTAGTTTAACTACTGGGATGACCAATATGCTTTCTTTTTTTTTTTTATTTGTGTGACTTAAGTAAAGAAAAAGGAAAAAACAAAGAAGAAGAAAGGCTATTATATTTAGATTTTTTTTTCACTGTGGAGATCTTTGAAATCTCCACTGAGGCTTTCTGTTGGTATAAATAATGAAATCATTTGAGCAGCTAATTTTTAAAGAATTTTCACAATTCGTCTTGTAACTAAAAGTTTTAAAACTGTTATTTTCAGAATGCTAGAAAATGCTCATTGCTATTTTAATTTAAATGAATATGAATTATTTTGTCTTTTAAAAGCTCTGTTTAATAAAAAACATTCAACTGAAGCTTGTTTAGTACATATATATTAAAATTAATTAAAATTAATTAATTAGAGTGTTAGACCTGATGCTAGATTTGTACATTTTTTAGAATGGAAGTAAAAATATGTACAGAAATGTTCATGCACATTCCTTAGAAAGGAAAATGGATTTTAATCATATTATGGAATACATTCACCTTGTACTACAGAAATCCCTAAATGCACAGTGGGACTGTGGAAATGAGGAGTGCCTATAGTCAACAAACGCTTACCAAAAATATCAGACTTTGAATTTTTTTTATTTTTTCGGACAAGACAAAGAAGCAACTGCATCATCCTCTATGCTCAAATTGGACTAATCAAAGACATCAATTTCACTCTGTGGAAGAGGTGCTGTGAAAATAATGTTATAGTACACTGAGTTCTCTGCTGATTTTAGTATTCAACCGTGCACCATTGGCATCAGGGGCTAGAATATCCTATAGTATATGTTAAATGATGTTCCACTCCATGCAACACTCACACATTAAAATGAAAGTAAGAGCTCCGCTCAGGACAGGAGGAGCAGTATAATTTCTGTTCAGTGAATTCCCACAACTTGTACCTTTTGGAAGAAGTGAGGCAAACTGTCAGAAGGCAAGGAAATTAGTTCTGATGTGGGTTTTGCTTTCGCATCAGAAAATATTGAAATAAGCACTCAAGACAAATGGTTACCTTTTTCAAAGCTGCCCAGCCTTTCTCCTTCGTTGCTGACCCTCTCAGTGTGAGAATGGGAGAAAGACATCATTTTGCAAACAGAGGTCATAGTGGAAAGAATGATGCCATGCATGACTAATGAAGTCCTCTGATTCAGGAGGAAATTTTTATTTACATTTCAAATCAACAGCAATCTCTACTCAAAACAGGTTTTGAGCAAAGAAGAAAGTGAACTCTGCATTTCCATAGAGATAGTTTGTGAAGCATAACATAAAATGGCTAATATTTCATATGTTATTTCTTGCACCAAAGTGCATGTTACTCCTTGCTAAAAGAGCACAGCAATTCATAAAAGCAATCTGTATTTTTCTGCAGGTTCCATATATATCTAAAAAAGTGATGTCATTTATTATCCAAGTATTGATATTACTTTATATAGTAAATTCTCTCTTACATACAATTGAGATAGACTGTAGTCCTAAATACAGAATAGTTTTCATAATAGCTTAAAAAGAGAAAAGCAAGGCAAAACTATCACTAACAAAACTTTCTCATTAACACTGTATTACTTACAATATCCTTCCTTTTAGCTATGAAAGGTTTGGTTAGTGTCTCTCCTCCACAGCTTGATTTTTGATTCCTATGCAGGGTATAAAGCTGTCAGTCTCAGTTATTGTTCATGGAAAAAATTATTTTGTTTTTTTTTTCTTTCTTTTCATAGAATCATAGAATCCTAGAATTAACTGAGTTGGAAGAGACCTCCAAGATCATCAAGTCCAACTCCTGATCCAACCCCGCTGTGATTACTAGATTGTGGCACTCAGTGCCACATCCAGCCTTGTCTTAAAAACCTCCAGGGACGGTGAATCCACCACCTCTCTGGGCAGGCCATTCCAATGCCTGACCACTCTCTCTGTAAAGAACTTCTTTCTAATATCCAACCTAAACCTCCCCTGGCAGAGCTTAAGCCTGGGCCATCTTGTCCTACTTATTGCCTGGGAGAAGAGACCAATCCCCACCTGGCTACAACCTCCTCTCAGGTAGGAGTACTCATAGACTCTGCCAAGAACAGATTCTTAGTGCTCAGCACGGCTGAAAGGGATGAGCTTTAGCAGGGAGTCAAATACAAGTGGTTATACCAAAATAGATGCAAATCCATGTGGTCATCACCTCTTCTTCTGAGAGAAGAAAAACACACTGAATGAGCAGCAGCAACACTTTGGGAGTGGTTAGAAACATTTTCTCTGCTCTGGCATAAAAATAAACAGAAGGCAATCCCTCATTCAAACCAGTGCCCAAATTCCCAACAGCAGAGCAGGTAACTGAAGTCTGTGCTTCCACCAAATTGCGGAAATGGATGCACTTTGAGACAAGCTGAGGTGAATTAGTGACAAGAGTGTGTCTTAGCTTCTATCTTATTTTTGCTAGTCATGCCAATCTGGCAGACTGTGCCTGAGCTGGATTCTGTCCTCGTTCATGACAAAACTGTTAACACAGCTGCAGCTGCCAATCCAGATGTGCCTCCATAGTCTCTGTGCAGTTCCACCATCTCCTTCCCTCTTGGGGATATCCAGGGATAGAAAAAAGTGATAGGAACTGAGGCATCTAATGGCAATGAAGTTGCAGAAAAGGTAAAGTAGGAAAGATTTTACCCTGCTAGAATTTTCGTAACAGATGATGTTACTTGTGCCAGAATAAAAATGGATTTTCAGAAGCTAACACTGGCAGTAGCTGAAAGCACTGGTCATTAGGAAATTCCTAGTGCATTTTGTCTCTGACCTGTCTGAGCAGATACTCCAAACTGTTACAATGTTGTTTTCACAGGTACAAGTTTCAAATCATAATTACTATTTAAACCTGGAAGCATACACACTGCTGAGTGCATGTGAGATGCCTTCTCCTGCCTGCCTGCACTTCAGAGCTTTTCATTTCCCCAGTGGGGTGCACTCTCCAGGTATGAGTATCACATTAAATCCTAGTAGAAGATTATACAGATGACATAAAGTACTAAATTACTGAGGAATGAGCTATGTAGAAAGAGGAAAAATGTGAAGAAAAATGGCATGAAAAATATCACATAAAATTTCTCACACAATAAGAATTTCCCCCAAACCTGTAGTTATTATTTCCAAAGACTAAAAGGTGCTTTGACCTTGTCCTCAAAGGTAAACCCCAGAGCATCTCATAGCAAACCACAGTATTTCTCTCTCTCCATAACTTTTTGTCAGGAGTGCAAAAAACAGAAAACTGCCACTCTGGCCTAACACGTCTTTGGAATAGTCATGGGTGCAGAATAAGAACATAAAAAGTATTAAACTGAATTCTGTGATTTAGACAGAGAATCAAAGAGAACACAGCACAGAGATGAAGGATTAGATCTACACTACAGTACTGTATTTTAAAAAAACACATGTAAAAGACAAAGGAAGAGCCAAGTCACCTTTGTTTGACAGCAGCTCCACACAGCTGTTTTCTTTTTTGAAGGAAAGGAAGGGAAGAATGGGAGTTTGTTTGGTTTTTGAGTTGCTTTTTTTTTTCCCCAAGTGAAACTGCAAGTGGAAATTTGAGATAAAGATAACTTAATTATATAAGTGGATTTTAGCTTTGACAGAAAGGTTAATGATCCAACACTTGGAAGTATGCCAGGACACATTAGTGACCATAAGGAGTCATAAATTTGGTTTTACATTCCAATGAAAGAAGCCCTGCAGTATAGCATCTCTTGTCATCCTGGTGAAACATTGACTACGGTGATGAGTTGGGAAAAATAAAACCTTTGTATTCAA